AGAGAGAGAGAGAGAGAGAGAGAGAGAGAGAGAGAGAGAGAGAGAGACAGCAAGTAGATCAATGAACAATTAACTGGGCATACAACTAAAAATAAACTAGAAAAAGAACAAATTAGAAATTCCCTGCTAAACACCAAAACAGAAATCCCAGGAAATCAAAGGGGAGATTAACAAAGGCTCACAGGAGGTAAAGTGGATAATTCTGATTACATTAAACTAAAGAGTTTTAGCAGAAACAAAAACAATGCAGCCAAAATTAGAAGAAAAGTAGGAATCTGGGAATAAATTTTTATAGCAATTTTCTCTAATAAATACCTCATTTTTCAAATATATGAAGAATTGAGCCAAATTTATATATAAAAAAATAAGAGCCTTTCCCCAGTTGATCACTGGTTAAAGGATATGAACAGTTTGCAGAAGAAGAAATCAAAGCTATCCATAATCATATGAAAAAATACTCAAACTCACTAATGATTCTTGATATGCAAATTAAAACAACTCTGAGATACCACTTCACACCTATCAGATTGGCTAACATGACAGAAAAGGAAAATGACAAATGCTGGAAAAGATATGAGAAAATAGGTATGCTAATGCATTGTTGGTGGAGTTGTGAACTGATTCAACTATTCTGGAGAACAATTTAGAACCATGCCCAAAGGGGGATAAAACTATATATACCCTTTGATTCAGCAATGCCACTACTCAGTCTGTATCCAAAGAGATTTTTTAAAATGGAAAACAACCTATATATACAAAAATATTTATGGTAGCTCTTTTTGTGCATAGAATTGGAAATTGAAGGAATGCCCATCAATCGGGGAATGGCAGAACAAGTTGTGGTATATGATTGTGATGGAATACTATTGCCGTATAAGAAATGGTGAGCAGGGTGCTTAGAGAAAACCCTGGAGAGATGTATGTGAACTGATGCAAAGTGAAGTGAGCAGAACCAGGAGAATGTTGCACACAGTAACAGCAATATTGTATGGTGACACAAATGACTTAGCTATTCTCAGCAATACAATGATCCAAGACAGTTCTGAAGGACATATGATGAAAAATGCTATCCATCCCGGGAGAAAGAACTGATGTTAAAGGATGTAAAGGATAGACATTCTGTAATGCTTATAGAAAAAGCACGTTTTCCTATGCACTGCTAACATATGTGTGTGAAGAAACAGCTTTTAGGTGGGGTTTGGGACAATTTGAGAGAGCAGATGATTGATCAGTGGGGTGGATTGCAGGGCTGGAGCTGGGGCAATTAGAAGCAGTCAGCGGAGAGAAAGCTTCAGGTGAGTGATTCCTGATTGGTTAAAAAGAGCCAGGTTCATTTGCCCGTAGTTCCTGCGGTATTTCCCTCCAGCGCCACCTGGAGTTGCAGAAGGGCGACGCTTCGCATAAGAGCTTACTGCTGTCTGCTGCCTTCCCGGAGAGGGCTGTGAGCTCCCTTCTGATTGATTGGATGGAGCAGTGAGCCGGCGCGTACATTACTAACTGCACGGCATCAGGCTGATGAGCCTGGCATTTCTTTAGCTGAAAGCGAACGCGCATTCATGTAGAGCTAATGCTTTCTCAAGCTCAAGGGTGATGGGTGGTCCAAAGAGTTTATTCAGGCTGTGTTGGAGGAGTAAAGAGGAAGAGATTTCCCCAACCGACGCGAGTAAGTAAAGTAAGCGTCAAGAGCAGAAGCAGCACCATTCCAGCCGGCAGCCTGGAGTCTGACTTTCCCTGCACGGGTGAGGTTCTTTATAAATGTGTGCCTTCTGTTCCCCGCAGCTATTGAGTGCACTGGGGAAAGGCTGTGATCTGGATGTATACCTGTATTGCAATGTATTTGTTACTTAATGCATCTGCTTTAATGTTTTAGTTAACTATAGCATTATTATTTCTTTTACATTATTATTAAGTAAATGGCTACGTTGCAGATTTTAAAATGTCATTATTGTGAGTGGCTGGTTGTGTAGACGGAAAACATATTGGGCCTGGCATAGTATGATCCCGGCTACTGGAGAGGCTGAGTGGTTTGCTTGAGCTTGGGGGTCCTGAGATGTAGTAAGGCTAAATCTGGCCCAGTGTCTGCACTAAGTCCAGAGCCAATATGGTGAGCCTGGGGGGGGGGGGGGGAACCAGGCTACCTAAGGAGACTCAAGCTAGCCTGGGTTGGCAACAAAGCAGGTTAAAGCTTCCTTGATGATCAATGGTGGTACTGGGCCGGTGAATGCCTGCTGCACCTGGGTGAGATAAGAAGATCCAGATGAAAAGAAGGAAGGAAGGAAAAGGGAAGAGAAGAAGAAGAGGAGGAGGAAAAATGGATGGGGGTTCAAGAGGCAGAATGGTGAGTAGGAGAAGTATATTTACTCTCAATAGTGTTGCCCCTAGCACCCTGAAAGAGTGAATATAACAGTGTTCTGGTAGTGATTAGTCACTGGAGACTTACACCTGCTAATGGAAGAGCAGGTTAAGGAGTGAGCCAAACCCAGAGAAAAGGAAAGTGGTCCCTATGCCTGGGTTAGAAGAGTGAGGACCCCAAGTACTCCACATTGTGGGTGTTGATTATGCCCTACCATAGCGCCCCATTTGCCCTTTTACATTTTGGGAGCACTGGAATCACCACAGTAGCAAAGAATTGGAAACTGAGGGGGTGCCCCTGAAACGTGGGATGGCTGATATATGAATATGATGGAATATGATTGTGCTGTATGAAATGATAAAGGGAATGGTTTCAGAGAAATCTTGGAAGACTTGCATGAACTGATGCGGAGCGAAATGACTAGAACCAAGAGGATAACTTATACAATGACAACCTGTCACTGTATATTGTAAAGACAAACATTTTGGAAGGACTTGGGAACTCCGATCAACACGACGACCAACCGTAATTTCAGAGAATTCGTCATGAAACGCGCTGTCTACTTCCGAACAGAGAGGTGAAGGAGAACTCGTTGACACAGACTGAGATTGAGACGGCTGTTTTGTTTTGCTTTTGATGTGGCCGTCAAAGGGAGTGGTTTTGCTTGACTATATGTTTGTAACAGGGAGATTGTTCTTCTCGCATTCTCAGTGGAGGTTGAGAGGAAGCAGAAGTGGGAAGAGGAGAATGTGGACTTGAAAAAGGAAGAAACCCCAGATCAGCCACTGCTTCTGTTAAACCTGATCTTCATTCTCGCCATGGACTCTGGTCCCCCCTTTTCCTCCCGGACTCTCTTCCTCTCTTAGCTTCACTTTCCTTCCTTCATAATCTTGACATTAATCAATTTTTTAAAAAGTATTTTTCTCCACCATGGATTCCCTTGGCCCCAGTGTTCATGCTGTGCCAATCCCCAGCCTTGGGCCACCCCTCGCCTCCACCTTCTGTGCCATGGCTCTTAAGCCATTCGCTGCCTGTCACTAACAGAGCTCGCAAAACCGTGCTGACTCGGTCCGCCTACTTGGCCCTGCTCGCTGCACAGCAATCCTCATTTCCGCTGTGATTAACTATCACTCTCCAAGCAACAGCTGTCCTGAGCTTCTTAGCCCCCAGCCACTTCCCCCTATCCTTCTGCTCAGCAGGCAACGCTGCTTTGCTGAGAAGATCAAGGCCATCTGTGATGACCCAGCGGCCTACTCCCCCTCTCCAACCCCACCTCCCTCTTCATGAGTCTCCCTCTCACAGCCTCAGAGGAAGAGGCAGCCCTTCCCTCCGAACTTCCCCCTCCCCTTCCCATCTCCTTTGGAAGCTTGCCCACCAATCAATCTCCCTAGGCACTGAGGCCCGCCCCACTCTCTGGCCTCCTTTCCAAAGCTCCCAGGATCTATGGTTGAGCAGCGTCCTTATTTCCTCCAGCAAGCCTGCGCATGGTGCCCTTGACACTCAGTTAATGGCCTCTGACTGCTGCCGTGGCCAGAAAATGAATGCCCCTGCTAATGAGTCGGTCCTTGGCCAACACATGCAGTCTATTGCCAGGTGCTCAGAGCTTTTCCAGCCCGGCAGGGACGTGCCGTAAACCTGGTTTCATGGATGCAGCCTTGGAAATTCCAAGGGAGGGCCTTCCCCAGCACGCTGAGGATTCCGCCCAGGCAGGGCGCCCTCGGTCTTAACCTGCCCCCAGATGCTGCTGTTGCCGGTCCTTCATTCTCGCAGAGCACCAGTGACATCAGGGGGGTGACGTCACAACGCCCTGAATGGGATGTAAGTGAGGCAGGGCTGTGCACCATCACCAGCCCCGCGCTCTCCTCCAGAGTCATCAGAGTCCAGCGGCAAGACGACTCAAGTGTTCGAGACGACTGGTGGTGGTCCAGCTGCTAGGCATTCACACTTCCTTCTTGTATCTTTCCTTCTTGTATCTTTCCTTCTTGTATCTTTCCTTCTTGTATCTTTCCTTCTTGTATCTTTCCTTCTTGTATCTTTCCTTCTTGTATCTTTCCT